GACTATTTTCCATTGTTATTTTTCCAGGAAGTATCCAAGTCACTTTTCCCCTTCATTTATTGAATAGGACCAAAGGAGTATTTCGCTTATGTTTTTTTTTTCCTTCCCAAGTCACTTGTGATATGTTTCATCAGAATATAAAAATTAAATCTGGCATATTCAAATTTAACAATTTTGTGATTTTGTTTCTATATTTAATATCCCCCTCCAATCTTTGATTTAAAACCTAATTAAAAAATTAACATTGATCATATATAAAAATTATTTCGTATATTTATTAATTTTTTAAATTAATCTTATTGATATTTCCTCAATAATAATCAAATAGTAAAAAAAATGAGGGAATTAAAAAAAGACACTTATGGTGTTTTAAGAAAGTGTATCAAGTTAACTAATATAACTAATATCCTTAATTCACTCAAATTATTTAATTAAATCTTATATTGAGACCGGAAAAATATATACTTAAGAAAACGATAATCTATACCACAATAATCTAACTGTGACGAAAGAATCATTACAAAAATTAACAGGATTAGTCTTTGTTTACTTTCGGTCGTTTCAGCTTTCTTCTTTGAAACGTCCTTAAATTATTGCTAGGAAAGAAACCCACTAGGTTGATTATATTTTAATATTTGGTCAATACTAGCAAAGATTCGTTATCCCATGACTCTACCAATGTGACAAAAGATTTATTATTTAAATATAAAAAAATAACTCATTAGTGACTAGCATGTGGAGTGTGGACCAACCAAATCAAAATATGACAAGAAAAAAAAAATGTAAATATGAATGCATTATCAGGTGCTTCAGAGTATCCTCCTCTAAGTTGAAATTGGAAAAAATAAATAAATCTACCTTAAATTTAATCAAATTTTAAATAAATCTCAGAGATCTAAAAATCAACCTCTTAAATTTACAAATAATTCTCCTAAGATATAAATATTTTAACTTTGGCAAAAAAAACTTACTAATTTACAAGTAAACCTCTCACATTGACAAAGTCATCATTTTAACTTATTCTTTTTACCTTTTGGCATTCACTAAATTAGATTCAGTTCTTTTCTTGTGCTTTGCTTCATTCTCCCACGGCTCGAAAATTTATCGCCATAATTTTCATCACTTATGTATTACAGATAAATAATAGTAGTATATAGCATAAAAATTATTTATAAAGTTAGTTAATTAATTAAACTGCGATGTGAGCTTTTATAAATTTTTTAATACAACATGTGAGAAATATATTTATAGTTAAAGCGAATTATTTGTTCATTCAATCTCAAATTTATATAGATTGTACGTGTGCGTCATGCTTGAGACGTTATTCTGAATTTGGAATTATTCCAAATATAGCATAATTTTTTTGGCCTTGAATTAAATATAGCTTACTTTGAACTTTAGAATTGGTGTCTCCATAGTTAAAGAGCTCAAGTCAAGAAGCAGGTGTAATCATCAAGTCTATGCTATCAATACGAGTTGGTCCGAGTGGTAAATGGTTCGATACCATTTAAGCAAGGTCTTGAGTTCGAATCTTGACGTATGCAGAAACTTTGATTGGGAGACTCACCCACTATAGTCAGGTACGCGACGCGAGTCGGATCTGAATATAGTTGGAACAAAACTCCGGTAAATCAGTTGGGCAACCAAAAAAAACAAAAGTCTCTGCTATTTTTTTGGAGTAACAAAAGAGGGCCCAAGGCCAACGCACTACTCATGGCCTATCCTTCCCACCCCATTTACACGGCAGCCATCCCTGCTCCTCTTATATTCTTCTCATAGTTCCTTCAGGATCTCTGCTTCCTCTTTCCAGATCTGCAAGGACCCAACCATTTCCAGAGTCAACTTCGCAAGAGCGTCTGCCACAGCGTTCGCTTCTCGCCTAATCCACTCTACGCTGACTTCCCGCCTTAGATCCATTAAGTCAGCAATCTCCTTCCATAAACAACAGGTAACGATTCCTTCTTTTTCTTTTCCCCCTCAACCTTCTAACGGCTCTCTCTCGCATCAACTGCCAATATCACCTTTTTGATCCCCAAATTCGAAGCTACTTCCACACCCCTCCTTATACCCCAAGCCTCTACCTCTTCTGGTGTGCAGCGCCCCACTTCTGCCGATCAACTCTCTGCTTCCCATTAGTTCTTGTTCTGCCTCCAAAAAAAAAAAAAAAGGAAAGAAAAAACCTTATCTTAAGTTCATATTACAGGTAAATAACAGAATATGATTTTTTTAAAAAAAAAATTTTGGGTGACGATAGATCTTGCGGTTGATGCAATATATCTTCCAGCAGCGGCGGTGTCTCTGTCCTCCAATAATATATCCAGACATTCAGTCGTTTTATTATTATTATTTTTTTTAACCGTGACCATAAAGTAGAAAGAAGGTTTTTTGTCTTATATATTTTTTACATCGTTAAGTTAAATTTATAATATTAATATATAAAATCTATTTAACTAATTTAATTAAATTTTAAAAATTAGATAAGTTAGTTAATTATAAAAAATATGATATATTTTTTTAAAATATTATAATTATTTTTTTTAGTATTTTTTTATTATGGTTGAAGAAATATTTATAAAAATAATTTAAAAAAAAATTAATAAAATAAAAAATAAGTGTTATATTTAATATTAAAATTGATTTAATAATTAGATTTTATATTAAAAATCGGACGAGTATTATTTTATCTTTTATTTATTATTGGACATATTGTTATTTTCTTGATAAACCTCATATTAAACAGGAGAAACTATATACTAGGCAGGAAAAAAATTGTTAAAATTTAAGGCAGATTTAATAAAGGTTGGGGCTTCTCTTTATTCTATAAAATATGCCGAAAGCAGCTTACAGATAGAACCAGATGAATGTTTGTACTGTTAGCATCGTCTATGCTTTCTTAAATTCCTAAATCCATTTTCAACCATGTTCTGGCTGCCTCCCTTGCTAATAAGATATTGAAAATATTACAGGTAAATATTAATTTTAATCAAAATATTATTAGAAAAAATTAAAATGAAATGTTGGATGTTATTTTTGTATTTTGTGTTTTACATTGAATTTATATTAATTTAAATTTCATACTGAATTTGATGGAATGCCTATTTCGAATCGAAATATATACTTGTGAAAGAAGTCAGATTATTTAAGTTATGTTTTCATTATATTGAATTTATGTTATTGAACAAACAACTGATAGTTATTAAAAGATTAGTTTTGTTTTACATCAAAATAAAATTTAAAAATAGAATAAAATTTAATTTGGACCGTTATTTTTTGATATATATATATATATTCATAGTAACTTATGAAAATCTGATATATATTCATAGTAACATATGGAAATTTGAAATATTCATTAAAAAAAAATAAATCGGGAATACCATCAGCCTGAATACTGTTTCAATAAATATCATTTTCTGAGTGTACATGTGCTTTTTTTTTTGGTCGTCAATAATTATACAATAATGAATTTCCAAGACTTTAAATTCTTAGAAAAGTAGTGTGTGTGTGTGTGTGTGTCGTAGTTTTGTACTAATTGGGTGAATAGTTATTTGTTATTTGTGTGTAGTGGGGCATAATCTCTTAATTTGATTTGAGAGTCACTCCGGAGGACGTTTCTGCATTATTCGTCTAATATCATCATCACATTTGAGGTAAGTAACGGTTATATTAGATTAAGTCATTTAACTGATTTTTTTTATTTAATTTTTTTTTTATCTAGCTCGATGAAGGACTTCTTTTTTCACTTTTTTTATCATCTCGCTACTTTACATGTCTATTGTATTGTCTCATCTATTATATTCTTTGATTATCATATGAACTCAATATTCAGATTCTTAAATAACGAATAATTTTATTACAAACTCAAGTCTCGCCTAATCTTTTTGCATATGCAAAGTATTTGTTTTTCAGTCAAAGGAACTAGTATTTGTACATTAAATAATGGATTTGTTAGATGCGTTTATTATAGTTTTCTGAAATTAACTTGATTTAATTTTTTTATAAGTAATCATATATTTTTTATTTAAATCAATAAAATTTATTAATATGATTATTAAAAGCTTTAGTTTTTCTATTAAGATAAAAGTATATTGTATTGACTACTTTCATTTAGAAACGGAAAGGAATATAGATAAAATGGTGTTGTCATTAAAATAGTTGAGTTTTAAATTCTGATTTAAAAATGGGTAGTGTCCAAGAATATACGTGTATGTGTGTGTAATGATTTTTAGATATGCATGTACTTTGGGCAGCCACGAAAAAATGCATTCAATTTTGGTTTAGAACACGTTTTTCTCCTTGTTGACATATCTATATGATATAATATGTAATTACCATTTACCAAGATTACCAGGTAATATTGTTATTATTTGGGAAAAAATTGTAGTTACATATATAAGTTCTAATAATAAAGGATTTATTTTTACATAAGTTTTGTGAATTTACTTAAATATTACTCTCAAATACCTCAAATAAATGCTTAAATATTAATTTTTATTAAATATTTTAATATTTACAAGTTAAAGTTAATCAATTTTCAAATAAATCTCCTAAGATATTATTATCTTAATGCTGGCAAAAAAATTTTACTAATTTACAAGTAAACTTCTCAGATTTACAAAGTCAAATCTTAACTTATTCTTTTCCCCTTTTGGCATTCACTAAATTAGATTCAGTCGTTTTCGCGTGCTTTGCTTCATTCTCCTACTGCTCAAAAGATTATCACCATAATTTTCATCACTCATGTATTACAGCTAAATAATAGGGGTATATAGCGTATAAATTATTTATAAGGTTAATTAATTAATTAAACTGTCATGTGAATTTTTATAAACTGTTTTAGTACAATATCTCAGAAATATATTTATAAAGTGAATTATTTGTTCATTCAATCTCAAACTTATACATATTGTACGTGCCTGTTATGCTTGTCACATTATTTTGTGTTTGGAATTATTACAAACTGGTGTATCCATATATAGGGCTGCCCTGCATTGCGTCAGATGGAAGAAATTGGGACTTGTATAGCGACCAAGCTTGCAGAGTGTCTATGGGATCCAATTTCACGTCGCGCTCGTTATTTGTTTTGCTTCAACCAATTCAATGGAGGTTTTGAGAAAGCAAAAGAAGGGCTGGAGGTGACATTAGCAGACTTGAACAAGCGCAAGGAAGAAGCTGATCGAAAAATTGAAGAAATAATGCCATCTGTGAGGAAGTGGTTGGATGATGTGAATGCTATCCTAGAGGAGGTGCAAAAGGTGCAACAGGAGGTTGAACGAGAAGGAAAGAAATGTTTTAACATGTCACTCAAGTATTCCTTAGCAAAACAAATGGATGATGTGGCTGAGCAAATGAAGGAACTCAAGAGCAATTCCCACTTTGATCCATTTTCCCAGTCGATCCCACTTCCTGACATTACCTACTTCCCTTCCAAAGAGTTTGTGGATTTCAACTCCAGAAAATCGACTTATAATCATCTTTTGGAGGCAGTTAAAGATGGCAAGAACAAGATGATTGGGCTCTATGGTATTGGCGGTTCAGGTAAAACCACTTTGGCAAAAGAAGTAGGCAAGACAATGCATGATTTGAAGCTTTTTGACAAGTTCATCATGGTGGTTGTTTCGAAACCTCCAAATGAAGTAAAAATTCAGCAAGAAATAGCAGACCAAATTGATTTGAAATTTGATGTGGCCACTCAATCTGTAAGAGCACAAAGGCTATCAGAAAGATTGAGAAGTATGAAAATTCTTATAATCTTGGATGATGTGTGGAGTAATGATCTAAACTTTCAAGAAATTGGTATTCCGATTAATGAAAATTGTTGTGTTTTGTTAACTACTCGTCTTCGAGATGTTTGTGTCTTTATGGGTTGTGAGGAAAATTTTGAATTGTCTCTCTTGATAGAGGAGGAAGCATGGGATTTGTTAAAGATGCATGCAAACTTAACCCATGACACATTGAATGAGTTTGTTGGTGTGGGAAAGAAAATTGTTGATGAGTGCAAGGGACTACCTATTGCAATTGTGACAGTGGGAAAGGCATTAAGAGGAAAAGGTATTCGGGACTGGAAGTTAACACTACGGAGGCTACAACAATCCCTACCATTGGATATTGATGAGAGTTTAAGGGGCCCTTATGCATGTCTCAAATTGAGTTATGATTATTTGCCAAGTCTAGCAAAGCACCTCTTCCTATTGTGCTCTATGTTTCCTGAGGATCATCAAATTCATAGAGAGGATCTTGTTCGATTTGCCAAACGGACTTTGGAAGTTGAGGGGATTGTTTACACGATGGAGGATGCAAGGAGGGAGATTTTAGTAAGCATTGACAGGCTATTAGATTCTTGTTTATTAATGCATACAAATGAGCAAGCATGTGTAAAAATGCATGACTTAGTTCGGGATGTAGCTTTGTGGATTGCGAGGGAGCAACATCAAGCAATTTTGGTGGATAGCAATGCGGTTTCAAAAATGTTGGCTGAAAATGAAAGTTTGAAAGAGACAAAGGTAATATCATTATGGAATCTGGAAGGCAATTTTTGGCAGTCTAATCAATTGCATTGTCCAACACTTGAGGTTCTGCTACTTCATCCCAAAGGGTTCATTGAAGATCTTGGAGGGATTGAAGCGCTCAAAATCTTGGTCCTTGCAACATCTAGCTTTCAATGGAAAGGACTTGGTTGGCGTACACAAATTCAATGGTCAATGCCGCAATCAATTGTGTCATCATTAATTAATCTTCATACCTTATGCTTCAGAGGAATTGCATTGGATGACATCTCTTTTCTAGGTCAACTCAAAGGATTAGAGATTCTTGACTTGCGTGGTTCTCAATTTGGTGAATTACCTATTGGAATTGTAGGTATGAAAAAATTGAAGCTGCTGGATGTGTTTGGGTGTGAAATTGAAAAAAGTCCTCTTGGAATTATTGGAAAATGTGAGCAACTTGAGGAATTATACTTTTGGGAAAAGAAATCTGCCATATCAGAAAATTTCTCTCTTTCGAGGTTGAAGAGGTACGTTATCTATGACACCACATCATTGAATATTTCTAGTTATGAAGATCCTCCTTTTGTAGAATATTTTGATGCTCATTGCATTGAAGAACTGAGAGCTTTATGCATACAAGGCTTCAAAGCCTCTGTTTCGAATTCGTCAATGAAAGATCTCATTCTTGGAGCAAACTGTCTTTGGTTAGACAATTGTAGGTGGGATCTTAATGATATAAATTTTGAAATAAAGCACTTAGCAATTTCACGCTGTCTGGAGAAGATATTCATAGCTGATAACATGAGCGCCAACATTCTTCAAATAGGACGAGTGTTCTCCCACCTGATTAGTTTAAGATTGAGAAACATGAATAGTCTTGAACAAGTGTTCCAAGATTCATCGATCACATGTTCTCTTCCGATGTTTGTTTCTACAGAGCTGTCCAGAATTGGGAACCTGCATCTTCACCTATGCCACTGTTACAAGCCTACCGAAGCTGAGGAAACTTGAGATTAAGGATTGTGAGAAATTGAAATGGCTATTCTCTTATCTCTGGCTTCTCAGTGTCCTTCGCTAGAGGAATTGCTAATAAAGGATTGTCCTAAACTGAGGGGCTCACTGATGAAGAAGATGCGCATGGTGATCGTCTACTGCATCAAAGGGAGCCCCTTCAAGACTACCCATACGTAAGTGTTATATCCGCAAAATTCGTCTTGAATCATTGCACATTTGAAATTATAATCCATGCTGATGCGTTCGCTGAAAAAAGGTAGCAAGCTGAATTTGTTTCTTTTCTTTTGGTGCTGAATTTTATATCCTTTTCTTAAATTATCATGCGAAATTAATGTGCCCACTTTATCACTCTATTTGTTAGTTTTACCTCTCTGGTCAAATAAATAATTATGTGTATTACAATTTCTAACACCATCTATATATTGCGGAAACTAGTTTTTAGAGGCTAGTGTAAATTCATGCAATTGCCAAGAGTTTCACATATTTTTAGGACATTTCGTTTTTGCTTTTTAAACTTTGTTTTAAAAAATCATGTTTATAAGCAAATAATACACGTAAGATTAAAAAAGTACTCCAACGTATTCTGAATGAGAGGCAATAGTCATTTTCTTTAATTCAAGTTTTTGCAAATATATAACTGTATTTTTTATTTCTGAAATTTGAAAGCTCGGTAGCAACGTCATACGTAGTGTTTTTATATGTGCGTACGTGTGTGTGATTGAGCTACTATTTGAGTTTTACTTTTTATTTCAAGACAAGAAAATGCTATTTGTTTTTATCGATTTGTATCCTTCATATTAAACTTTTTTATCAAATGATTACTTTTAATTTGCCAAATGAAAGGCTATATATTTTCCAAATAATTAATTTCATATTTTGAGCAACGCTTTATATTTTTAATTTCCTATTTTTGTTAAGAAAATAATTCTGACTCACACGATGAGAGTAAGAGACAAGTTATTGTAATTAATGTGTGCATTTCATAATTATAATTTGAATACATATATGTATGTATGTACAGCCACAGGGGAATCAGACTGCGGTCACTACTGCAGAAAGCTCCCACCATTCACGAAATCAGAAACTCTGGACCCCTTTTCTTATTAGTCTGAAACATGTACGTATTATCAACAGTGGAATGAAAGTTACTGTGTTTGAGGTTCTGCAAGTCACAGGAACAGAATCTATTGAGGCAAGAGACGAACCTTTGACATTGAATTCAGAGCTGCGTTCTTTATATTTATATAATCTAAAACAGTTGGAATACATTTGGAAAGGCCCCATACAAAGTGTGAGCCTCTATAGACTTGAAAGTATTGTATTGCGAGAATGCTCAAAGTTGAGGAATATTTTCACTCTTGCAATTGTCACAAGCCTTCCAGAGTTGAAGAGATTAGAAGTAGGTTCTTGTGAGGAATGGGAGGGAATATTTTGTGAAGAATCACTTGAAAATCTTTCTTCTTCTTCTAATGTTTGCTTTCCCAAACTTGAGAGTATTGAGATATGGGGAAGCAGTAAAATGAAAAGGGTGTTCTTATATTCTATGGCTTATCGTCATTGTCCTTCACTAGAGAGGCTGCAGATAAAGGATTGCTCTGAACTGGAAAGAGTTGTTGATGAAGAAGCAGCACATGATGGGGATTGGCGGCTACCTCTTCTCAAACTGAAGGAATTAGATCTACAAGGGGTGCCGAAGTTGAGAGAGATATTTGGAGGAGCATTATTGGAGTGTCCGCAACACGTAAGTATTTTCCACAAATAATCAAATATTATTTTTAGCTCAACTTGTTGCTTTTCTCATAATAAATAATAACAGGAATGATAACACGCTATTTATTTTAATCTGTATTTGTTATTTTTTTTGTTGGTGAACTTTTTTTTCCCGATAAAACGTAGGTAACTCCTTTTGTTCTTTTGCTGTTAAAATTTTTGTCAAAATAATTTCTTTCACATTGCCAAATAATTTTTTTTTGTTGAGTCTACCTCTTTTCCTGTTAAAAATTGGCATGTTTATTTTTAAATTTATTTGAAAATATCGTGTTTACTATCAAAGAATATAGATATATATATATACTCCTCCGGTCCTTAATATAAGACCCATTTAACTAATTTGATTATATTAAGGAAGTTAGGTAAATTAGTTAATTATAAGAAAAGTAACACATTTTTTCTAAAACACCATAATCATCTTTCTTAATACCCCCTCTCCTTCTTCTACTTGATTATGGTTGAGGGAGTATCCATAGGGGTAATTTAGAGAAAATTTAAAAATATAAGAAATGGGTCTTATATTTAGGACCAAAACCAACTCAAGAATTGGGTCCTATATTAAGGACCGGAGGAGTATTAGTTTTAAGAATATATCTTGAATATAATAACAGGAACTAGTTATTTCAATTTTTGGTTAATGTTTTGGCGCCAGCTCATTATTGTGGAAATGGAAAGTAATTATCCAAGACTGTTTCATTTGGAACAAATCAGTGTGGATAATATATGAAGGTCTAAAGTAATAAAACTTATGTTATTACAACATTAAAATTATGTGAAAAATGCGGTTTAATTTGTCATTTTTTCTTGATGAATTTTGGTAAAACGTTAACTTCTTTTCTTTTTTTTTAAAAAAAATTGTGAAATAATTTCTTTAACTTTGCTAAATGCACCACTTTGTCAAACATGCGAAATTGATTGGGTTTATATTGTGAACAGTGTCGTAAAAATTGGCATGTTTGCTTTGTCAAATTTGCCGTTTAGATATTTTAAAGAGATTTTTTTTTCCCTTTTGTTAATTCTCCCTCTTTGTCTTGTTAAAAATTTTAGTTGATTTGAAAAAAATCGTGTTTTTACTATCAAATTTTGGGCAATAATTATTTCAATTTTTGTTTTAATTAATGTTTTCGCTCCAGCTGATTGTTGTGGAAATGGAAAGTAATTATTCAGTACTGTTTTATTTGTAACAAATCAGTGTGGATAATATATGAAGGCCTAAATTAGTAAAATTTATCTTATTGGGATTACGTTATTACAACATTAAAAATATACAGAAAAAGGGGTTCCATTCGTAATGTTACTTTACAGTTTGATTTGATATGGTTCATGTATATTGTCCATCTTTCGGATTGTCATGTAATCATTGGATATAATTACTTTACAGAAAAATGAGAATAAGGGAGCAAGGGCCCTAAATTCAGAGTTGTGTTCTATATCTTTAGAAGATCTGGGAGAGTTGGAATACATTTGGAAGGGTCCCACACAAAGTGTGAGCCTCCATAGACTTGAAAGTGTTGAATTCTTGAGATGCCCAAAGTTGAGGAATATTTTCACTCTTACAATTGTCACAAGCCTTCCAGAATTGGAGATATTAGCAGTAGCTTCTTGTGAGGAATTGGAGGGAATATTTTGTGAAGAATCACTTGAAAATCTTTCTTCTTCTTCTAATGTTTGCTTCCCCAAACTTGAGGAAATTGTGATATTCGGAAGCAATAAAATGAAAAGGGTGTTCTCATATTCTATGGCTTCTCATCATTGTCCTTCACTAAAGCAGCTGGGCATAGGTCATTGCTCTGAACTGGAAAGGGTTGTTGATGAAGAAGCAGCACATGATGGGGATTGGCGGCTACCTCTTCTCAAACTGAAGGAATTAATTCTATGGAAATTGCCGAAATTGAGAGAGATATTTGGAGGTGAATTATTGGAGTGTCCGCAACACGTAAGTATTTTCCGCAAACAATCAAATATTATTTTTAGCTCAACTTGTTGCTTTTCTCATAATAAATAATAAACATGAACGATAAAATGCTACTATTATTTTTAATCTGTATTTTTTATTTTTTATTAATGAATTTTTTCTGATAAAACGTTAACTCCTTTTGTTCTTTTATTTTAAAATTTTTACCAAAATAATTTCTTTCACATTGCCAAATAATTTTTATGTTATTACAACATTAAAATTATGCGAAAAAAGGGATTTAATTCGTAATGTTAATTTATAGTTCTATTTGATGTGGTTCATAGATATTGTCCATCTTTCAAATTGTCATGTAACCATTGAATATAATTAATTTACAGAAAAACGAGAATGAGAGAGCAAGGGTAGTGAATTCAGAATTGTGCTTTACATATTTAATAGATATGGAAGTGTTGGAATATATTTGGAAGGGTCCCACACAAAGTTTGAGCCTCCATAAACTTAAAGATATTATGTTGAAGAATTGCCCAAAGTTGAGAAATATTTTCACTCTTGCTATTGTTACAAGCCTTCCAAAGTTGTGTTCACTTGAAGTTTCTGATTGCGAGGAATGGGAGGGAATATTCTGCAATGAATCACTCAAGCACCTTTCTTCTTCTAATGTTTGCTTCCCTAAACTTGAGAAAATTAAGATAACTGCATGCAACAAAGTGAAATGGGTGTTCTCATCATATTGTCTGGCTTCTCATTGTCCTTCACTAAAGAGAATACGCATAGAGGATTGCTCTGAACTTGAAGGAGTTGTTAAGGGATGTGAAGGTGAAGTTGGTGATCATGAAAACCTGTTCCCCAAATTGAAGAAATTGAGTCTCATTAATTTGCCAAAGTTGAGAGAGATATATGAAGGTTATGAGTTCGACTTCCCATCTGGTACTGTGCATATGCAGCTTTGTCCAAATATAACCCCACGATTCGAATACAATGCCTCATCAGGTACTTCCCTACCTACACTTTTTATTTCCACATGGATACACTCTTCCTTTCAAGCTCTCTCTTTTGATGCTTTTTTTTTTTTTTAATGAATGAAATAGTTTTGTGCACTTACTATTCATATCACCCCGTCCCATACAGCACTTCATTCCCATGTGGTCGTCTTATATATCAAACATATAATTTTGTATGTCATTGATTCTATTTAAAATCACTTGTTTAACCCCTCCCCGGCCCCCAAGAAAAGATTTTTTTTGGGCTACTTTATGAGAAATTTGAATTTGAATCTTTATTCTCCTTAAGATGCTGGTTTCTATATATA